ACACTTGAACACTTTCTAAAAGAAGATATACCAATGGCCAATTAGCACATGAAACACGGTCAACATTAATTTCCAGAGAAATGCAAATAAAATGGCAATGATGTACCAATAACACCTATTAGAATGGCCAACACTAAGATTGACAATATCAAACCTTGGCCATGCTGTGGAATAACTGGAACTACCATACATTGATTTTGGAACTGTACAATGGAACAATCATTTTGAAAAACGGTTTGGCAGTTTCTTTCTTATAAGTTAAACATACACTTACATGACCCAGCAGCTCCACCCTTAGCTATTTACTCAAGAGAAATGAACTCATATATCCATGGCAAGAGTTATACGGGAATGTTTATAGGAGCTTTACTCACAATAGACAAAACTAAAGAGAAAGAAATCTGCTTTTTTAAAAAAGATCGAAATATCTTGTCTTTTAGTAACTGGAATAATTTCGTTTCCTCCTGGACTGTAAATTCCAGGAGAGCAGGTTCCGTGACTCTCTTATTAACTACATATGCTCAGTGTCTGACACGGAATAAGTGCACAGTAAACGTTTGGTGAATGAATGAAAGAATGCAAGCCTTCACACATTAATGAATCTGTAGTCATCATCCTTCGGGCCTTTTATTCCCTCATTCCTTGCTCGAACAAACGCTATCTGGGCTAGGCCCGATGTGCTTTGTGGTCGCCCCGGGAAGCGGGCATCGGCAGGTCCGGGCTGCGGAGGCGCGTCTCCCTCCAGGGCCGAGGCAGCTGGGCGACCGGTGCGGCCCGGGGCCGGCGCCCCAGCGGAGGAATGTGCCCAGCGCCAAGCGCAGACGAGGCGGCGGAAAGGCACGCTTGGACAGACCGCGCGGGACTGACGGACGGACAGACAGACGGCGGACCCGCCGGCCAGAGGCACTGAGCGGGCCGCGAGCCCCCCGGGGCAGAGGGTGCCGGGGGCCGAGGGCTGCGGGCGGGACGCCGGGGCGGGCCGCGGGCGGCGGGGGCGGGACAGGACAGACGAGAATCCCGCGGAGGTGAGGCCGGGGCCGTCCCGCCCCCGAGGGCAGGCCCTGAGCCCCGGCCGCGCCCCGCCCGGGCCCGCTGGGGTGTGGGCTCGGGCTGCGCTCCGCTCTACTCCCTTTGCTCTGGAGCCCGCGCGGGCTCCGGCTCCTGCTGCAGGGGTGAGGGGACCGGGAAAGGGCCCCGCGGAGGTCCCGGGCCCGGAAATCGGGCGGGGACGGGAACCGGCTTGGGCTGCGAGGCCTCCTGACTCAGCCGCACGCTCAGATTTCGGGTTTCTCTCCCGGGCCGGGAGCGCGTAACTTCCTCATTCCAGCCTGGACCCCCGCTCCCATCCCGCCTGGCCGGGCTCGAGCCCCGGCAGCCCCGCCCCCTCTCGACCACCCCACCCTTGCCCCCTCAGCCGGCTTCTGCGCTGCCCCAGCTCGGGGCCATCCCGGCCTGGCTTGGTGTTCCCCCGGGCTCTGCTTACGGGCCAGGGGCCAGGACTGAGGGACTTTGGATGAAGTACTGAGGTAAGGGATGGAGGTTAGAGGGGGGTCAGCGGGGCGTTGCAGATGGGTGGGGCTGCAATCAGAGAGAGGTTAGGAGTCAGTGGGAGTGAGGCCGGAGGGGAGGATGAGGACCTGTGAGAGATGGAGGACTTGTGGGGGTTAGGATTGGGGGCAGGTTCTGCAGGACACATCACTTCCCTGGGGCTTCCGCATGTTCCTAGGATGGAGTCTCCTGAGAGTCTCTTCCCCTCCGGGGGTGACCTGGACTCCAGCCAGTTACAGATGGAGTCGGATGAGGTGGACACTCTGAAGGAGGGAGAGGACCCAGGTACACAGGGAGTACAGATGGCCCTCAGGGAGGGGAGGGAGGGGAGGGAGGGAATGGAGGGGATGGAGCCTCCTGGGCTCTCTACCCTCATGGGCTTTCTTTCCCCCCAGCTGACAGGATGCACCCCTTTCTGGCGATCTATGACCTTAAACCTGTGAAAGTGCGTCCCTTGGTGTTCGCCACCGGGGTCCCTGTCACAGCCCAGGTGGTGGGCACTGAAAGATACACCAGTGGATCCAAGGTGGCTGGCTGGAGGGGAAAGGGAGGGCTGGCCAGAGTGGGGGGCTGGGGCCCCACCAGGGGACATCAACTCAGTTCCCCACACCCCCCAGGTGGGAACCTGCACTCTGTATTCTGTCCGCTTGACTCATGGTGATTTTACCTGGACAACCAAGAAGAAGTTCCGTCATTTCCAGGAGCTGCATCGGGACCTCCTGAGACACAAAGTCTTGATGAGTCTGCTCCCTCTGGCTCGGTGAGGGGGACCAGACTGCTTCCTGTGAAGGGCAGGTGCCTCTCACCCTCCTTTCTGCCTGTCTCACCCCCAGCCACAACCTTCCTCCCCCACTTTCCTTCCGCCGACTCTGGCCACTGGGCCCCCTTCCCTTGACCCTGGTTACTAGGAGACTTTCCCTGCTCAGCTCTCCCTGTTCACGGTTCTGCGCCAAAATCTCAGCTGGGCTGGATGCCCAAAATGCCCTTGGCAGCCTCCCCCTTCTCTTGTCTCCATTTCCTAAGTAGGGGGCCTTCTTTCTGCCAGCCTCTAGGCCTCTTCCAAGACCACATCTCCAGTGCTTTGGGACCCAAAGTCCCAGTCTCCCAGCCCTTCCCTGACCCTCACCCAATCCTTTCTACAGCTTTGCCGTTGCCTATTCTCCCACTGGAGAGGCAGCCAGCAGGGAGATGCCTTCTCTGCCCCGAGCAGGTCCTGAGGGCTCCACCAGACATGCAGCCAGCAAACAGGTGCGAACAGACACCATGTCCTCTGGGAAGGCATTTGGTGTGAAATGGCTCTGGTCCCATCTGTGTCTCCCTGTCTCCCATCCCCACTTCAGAAATACCTGGAGAATTACCTCAACCGCCTCCTGACCATGTCTTTCTACCGCAACTACCATGCCATGGTAAGGTCCAGGGACTGGATGCCGGGGTCTTTGGAGGTGAAGTAGGATAGTCAGACCCTCGGGGGGCAGAGGGCTGGTTGGTAGGGGCTGAGGGGCTGAATGCCAGTTCTGTCCTCTGAGCTTTTGTCTTCCTCTGCAGACAGAGTTCCTGGAAGTCAGTCAGCTGTCCTTTATCCCAGACCTGGGCACCAAAGGACTGTGAGTGTCTGACACCCTTCACCCAGGTGTCTGTAGACATCACTCTAGATTTCTCCCTGCCTGAGAATGGGGCAAGCAGTGCAGGGTGGGCTGGGGCTCCAGAGTCCTCATCCAGCACCTTGTTTCGATTGTCCCCACAGGGAGGGGGTGATCCGGAAGCGCTCAGGTGGCCACCGCGTTCCTGGTCTGACCTGCTGTGGCCGAGACCAAGTCTGTTATCGCTGGTCCAAGAGGTGAGGCCTGGGACTGAGCATCTGGGCAGTGGGTGGGTGAGGAAGGAGATGGCAAGGGCAGGGAGGAACGCACGGAGCCCTTCTGCTCCAGGTGGCTGGTGGTGAAGGACTCCTTCCTGCTGTACATGTGCCTCGAGACTGGCACCATCTCATTTGTTCAGCTCTTTGACCCCGGCTTCGAGGTGCAGGTGGGGAAAAGAAGCACAGAGACACGGTATGGGGTGCGGATCGACACCTCCCACAGGTAAGGCCTCCCTGGGATGAGAGACACCTGGGGAGTGGAGAGCCAGCCCACAGCCCTGAGGGGAGTTGAATAGCAGAGACCACAGGAGAGAGGGAGGCTTTTCCACCCGCTAGGACCTGGGCATAGTTTTGAACCAGGGAGCTGGGCCAGCCAGCTGCTTGAGACTGCTCTTAGGTCTGGGCCCAGAGAAAGAGGGTTGGTAGAAGCCTGGGGGTGGAGCTCCCAATATAATAGAAAAGGAATTCCATTCTTTCATTTGTTCATTCCACAAACCTGAGTGACAATACTAGTTGCTGGGGATCTAATTGTAAATGAGGCAAAGATACATGCCCTGTCCCCATGGAGCTGTGGTTAGGGACTAAAGGAGGAAGTGGGAAAGAAGGGTGGAGTCTCTTGGCAAGGCCACAGCGTGGAGGGTGAGGATTAGTGGTCCTTCTCATTGCTCCTGTCCAGGTCCCTGATTCTCAAGTGCAGCAGCTACCGGCAGGCACGGTGGTGGGGCCAGGAGATCACTGAGCTGGCACAGGGCCCAGGCAGAGACTTCCTGCAGCTACACCGGCATGACAGCTATGCCCCGCCCCGGCCTGGGACCTTGGCCCGGTGGTGAGACACTGACATCCCTTCCGGGCTTGTCTGTGGCCTTCTTGACCCTTCGATATTCTCTGAGTCCTTTATCTTCTCTTTTATGTCCTCTGACCCTTTCTGATGTCAATGACCCCCCTTCTGTGACTTCTCTAATCTCCCTGATTCCCAATCTCTTTAACCATGTTGATCTCTCTGATTTCCCTCTGACCTTTCTGACCCCCAAATTCGGTAATCTCCTCTGACTTTTGACCTCTTATGAGGTCAAAGTCATTTACCCCCTTTACCACACTGACCCTCTGTTCTCTATGATCTCCTCAAATCTCTCCTTTATTCCTCATTTAATAAACATTTTCTGAGCAGGTACTATGTACTTAGAATAAGTGCTGGCAAAAGACACAGGCTCCTCTGGTTTAGGGAAGGGGGTGATCTCGTCATGAGACAATGTGGACTTGCCATAATGGTGACAGACACAGGGCAATGAGCACAGAGCGGGGGCAGCTACCCCAGTGTGAGGCTGTCAGGACAGGTGTCCAGGAGAAGGTAACCCAGAGGTTTGCCTTAGCAAGGTAAAGAAAATGGAGAACAGTCTAGGCAGAGAATATAGAAATAGCCTGGCGTGTTTGGGCACCAGCATGACTGATTGTTGTTGCAGAGTGAGGAGGAGCACTCACAGGAGGGTCTGGGAGTTGGCAGCACCCTGATTAGCGGGCTAAGCTGAGGGGGATGAACTTTATTATAGGCAGAGGGAGTCATGGAAGGAATTTTTTCTCAGAGGTGCTGTCGATACATATATTTTTAAACATAAGAAGTAATAATAGCTAATACTTATGTAGCATTTACTATGTGCCAGGAACAAAGTGCTTTACATGTATTAATCTATTGGCTCCTCATAACAGCTCTGTGGGGTAGGTACAGTAGTTATCTCCACTTTGCAGATGAGAAAATGGGCAAGGGGAGGTTTAGGAATTCGCCCAAGGTTATATACTTTGCATAACCTTGATGGGCGGAGTGGCTGACGCCTATAATCCCAGAGCTTTGGGAGGCCAAGGCAAGAGGATCTCTTGAGGTCAGGAGTCTGAGACCAGCTTGAGCAAGAGTGAGACCCCGTCTCTTCAAAAAAATAAAAAAAGCCAGCCATGGTGGTGTGTGGCTGTAGTCCCAGCTACTCGGGAGGCTGAGGCGGAAGATCATTTGAGCCCAGGAGTAGTAGGTTGCAGTGAGCTATGATTGAGCCACTGCACTCCAGCCTGGGCAACAGAGCTAGATCCTGTCTCTTAAAAAAAAAAAAAAAAAAACAACTATGCTCTTAACCACCATACTAATTTGTTAGTTATAAAAAATTCAGGCCAGGTGCGGTGGCTCACGCCTGTAATCCTAGCACTCTGGGAGGCCGAGGAGGGCGGATTGTTTGAGCTCAGGAGTTCAAAACCAGCCTGAGCAAGACCAAGACCCCGTCTCTACTGAAAATAGAAAGAAATTAATCGGACAACTAAAAATACATAGAAAAAATTAGCCGGGCATGGTGGCGCATGCCTGTAGTCCCAGCTACTCGGGAGGCTGAGGCAGAAGGATTGCTTGAGCCCAGGAGTTTGAGGTTGCTGTGAGCTAGGCTGACGCCATGGCACTCTAGGCCGGGCAACAAAAAAAAAAAAAAAATTCAAACAACAATACAGTAACACATTAAGTAGAAAATTAAAGTTCCCATTAATCACACAGCCCTGTACTCCCCTACTCCTTCCCTGCACCCCCTCCTGACAACTCCATTTCTCTTCACGAAAGCAAAGCTGGCAGTAGTTTGATATCTATCCTCCTAGAACCTAGGACTTAGATCTTTTCCTGCATATTTTCATATGCACATGCACATGTTACTTTTTGTTTTAATGTAAATGAGATCGCAGACCCTCTTCCATGCCTTTTTTTTCAGTTAATACATGTGTTAGAGATTAGACATTTAGGTTATTTCCCATTTTTCACTCTTACAATGCTGCAGTAAATACAATCTTTGCCTAAGCATTTTTTAGGGTGAATTCCTAGAAACAGAATTACTATGGACTCCCTCCCTTCCCCTCCCCTTCTACCAAAAAAGAAAAAGAAAAAAATTACCGTGAGTATTTAATGGTATTAAAGGGTATGTGCATTTAATATTTTGATAGACACTGTCAAATTGTCTTCTAAAAGGTCTAAATAACCAATATATATTCCCATGGCCTGTGAGAATACCTACTTCCCCATATGCTAATATTGAATGTTACCAATGATTTTAATTTTTAATGATCTGGTAGATTTTTAAAAAAATTTTATTTCATTTTAATTTCAGTGTCCTTGTTTACTAGCGAAATGGAACATCATTTCCCATGATTGACCATTTTAATTTCCTCTGTGAACTGTCAGTTCTTATTCTTTGCTCATTTTTCAGTTGGCTATGTCTTTTTCTTATTGATTTGTTGGTACTCCTTATATATGATGTATTAGTTCTCTCAATCTTTAGTCGATTTCTTTAGTTTATTGCGTCTTTTGTAATTTTTATTTTGATTTAGCTCATAATGGCTGTCCCCACTTTGATATATCCAATACCATCTGTCCTCTCTGATCATTTCTGATCTTTGACCCTGCTGTGACCTCTGACCCATGGCTGTCCTCCCGTCTTCACTCTCCAGAGCTTTCTGGCTTCTGGCTCCCCTGACCTGCTTGGCTTGGGCTCCCCCCAGGTTTGTGAATGGGGCAGGTTACTTTGCTGCTGTGGCAGATGCCATCCTGCAAGCGCGAGAGGAGATTTTCATCACAGACTGGTGGTGAGTGGGGAAAGGCCCAGGGAGGAAGGTACAGGACCTGGCCTGGGGCTGATCCGCAGATGGGTTGGAGGAGGGGGGAGAAGGGGAGGCGTGGCTGGTTGTCTGGGCGTAGCTTGCCTCTCATCCCACGCCCTGAATCCCAGGTTGAGTCCTGAGGTTTATCTGAAGCGTCCGGCCCACTCAGATGACTGGAGACTGGACATTATGCTCAAGAGGAAGGCGGTGAGGAGAGTGGTCAGGCTGCAGGGAGCTCCGGGTTTGCCTGTGGGTGGAGGTTGATTAGAAGGACTGCAGCGTGGGAGAAGGTAGGGAATCTGAGGTTTCAGGGGAGGGCGAGTGCCCATCCTGGCTTGGTGCCTGTCAGACATTACCTCCTCCCTCTCCCTCTTCCCTGAGGAGTACTGATACCTTCCTCTTCATGCTCCCCTCCGCCTGGCAGAGACTTCCCTCCCAGTACCCGGAACACTTTATTATGTTACCTGAGGGTGCACATGTCTGCTCTCTTACTGGACTAATTAATATCACTAGTTCCAGTCCAAGGCACAGTGCCTGCCAGGTAGCAAGCCTCTGGATGTTGATGGATGGGAGGAAGGATACATGGATGAAGGAGGGTGGGCGGCAAGTGGATGGATAGATGATAGAAAGGGAGATGGATGGGAGAATATGAGTTGGAAAAGTGGAGGGACAGGAGGGTGAGGGTAGCTGGATGGATGAATGATAGACAGTAGATGAGGGGAAGAGTAAATGGTTGGGAGATGGATGGAGAGATAATGCAGGGTAGGTGGCTAGGCGCGTGGGTGGATGAGTGGGCGAGCAGACAGATGACATTCAATCTAAGTTTGCTGCAATGCAGCAAAGCGAGGTGTATGTGGCAGAGCCTCTAGGATCTCCAGGCAGGGTGGAGGGACATACAGGAACCCTGAGCATGGGGAGAGGTTTGGGAGGGTAGAAAGGGGCTGCTCTGGGAGAGCCACTAGGATCTGATTCCTCACTCACCACCAGGAGGAGGGTGTCCGTGTGTCCGTACTGCTGTTTAAGGAAGTGGAATTAGCCTTGGGCATCAACAGTGGCTATAGCAAGAGAGCTCTGATGCTGCTGCACCCCAACATAAAGGTGACTCTCGGGCCTTGGAGACCCTTCCCGCACTAGAACCCTCCTCACCACACGTTCCCAGCCCCCAGCCCTCTCTCTCCTGGAAGGTCTCATCCTTCCATCTTCCTATTCTCCCTCCCAGTGCTTCTTCTGTCTTCCCGCACCTGAACTCCCCTCATGAACCTGTCCATACCTGCTCCAGGTGATGCGCCACCCAGACCAGGTGACACTGTGGGCCCATCATGAGAAGCTCCTGGTGGTAGACCAAGTAGTGGCCTTCCTGGGCGGGCTGGACCTTGCCTATGGCCGCTGGGATGACCTGCACTACCGACTGACTGACCTTGGGGACTCCTCCGAGTCAGCTGCCTCACAGGTAGCTCCCTGGAGGCCTTCCTGAGCGCCCCCAAACTCGGATAACCCAAATCCACACCCCTTCCAAGCTCCAGCCTTCCCCCTCCAATCATTGCAGGCACTGCCCACCTCAGAGTTCCTTGGCCTTTCTGGGACGGCAAGAACCCACTTAGAAAATGCTATAATCCAGTGCCATCTAAGGATATTGGATGTCCAAGGCAGCCAAAGGGGAGGGCTGGGGAATGAAACTCTCTCTGTCTCATTCTCACTGTCTCCATCTCTCTCACACTCTTTCAGTGCTCCTATCTTCTCTTTGGCCCTGGCTCTGGCTGGCCCCCATGACCTCCCCTTGCCCCTGGCTTGGGTATGTTCCCCCTACAGCCTCCCACCCTGTGTCCAGACTCTCTGGCCACCCCAGACCTCTCTCACAACCAATTCTTCTGGCTGGGCAAGGACTACAGCAATCTTATCACCAAGGACTGGGTGCAGCTGGACAGGCCTTTTGAAGGTGAGCCCCCCTCCTCCAAAGCCCCTGAGAGCTGGAAGCAGGGGCAGAAGTTGGGGCTGGGACTGAGGATGGGACGAGACGCGCCAAGGGTAGTGAAGCCTTGCCTCCAGCAGTCTCCTCCTCCTCCCTGCCCTAAGTATCCCCAGGAGACCAGCTCTGGCCACTCCCTTGACTGTCCTGCAACCCCCAGATTTCATTGACAGGGATACTACACCCCGGATGCCATGGCGGGATGTTGGGGTGATTGTCCATGGCCTGCCTGCCCGGGACCTCTCCCGGCACTTCATCCAGCGCTGGAACTTCACCAAGGTGCTCACCCCTCCAGTGGGGGCTAGAAGTAGGGAGGGAGGCCGGGTCAGCTTGCCACCTCCTGCTGACTCTTCCATCCCTCCACCTCAGACCACCAAGGCCAAGTATAAGACACCTATGTACCCCTACCTGCTGCCCAAGTCCACCAGCACAGCAAACCAACTCCCCTTCACGCTCCCAGGGGGACAGTGCACCACTGTGCAGGTGAGCCTCCCCACTCAGCCAGCGCCGTCCTTCCCTTCAGCCCAGCGCCCCAGCTTACTCTCCCTGATGTGCGAGTCCCCCAGACTCCTCTCCTGGGACTGGAACCACTTCATATTCACTGTCCCTCTAGGTCTTGCGGTCAGTGGACCGCTGGTCAGCAGGGACTTTGGAGAACTCCATCCTCAATGCCTACCTGCACACCATCAGAGACAGCCAGCACTTCCTCTACATTGAGGTCTGGCTGGGTGAGGGTAGGGGGAGAGAATGGACGGGGTGTCCCAGGAGAGAGGCCTGGGAAGTCATTGGGGCCATCATCGAGGGCTACTGTAGCTGGGCTGGAACAGGAGCAGATGCCTGGAGCCTGGGAGCAGGCACAGGGCTGGGAGCTGAGGGCAGGGCCTGGGGCCAGGCTGCTGATGTCTGTCTCTGGTCCCTGCTGTAGAATCAGTTCTTCATTAGCTGCTCAGATGGGCGGACGGTTCTCAACAAGGTGGGCGATGAGATTGTGGACAGAATCCTGAAGGCCCACAAGTAAGGTGGACTGTCCGGGAGGTGGGGGCTGTGAGCATGGCTCAAGCCCCACTAGCGGGGGTGGGGTTTGAGGGACCAGTCACACATCTGACTCCAGCCTCTCCCCAGACAGAGGCAGTGTTTCCGAGTCTACGTGCTTTTGCCTTTGCTCCCAGGCTTTGAGGGTGACATCTCCACAGGTGGTGGCAACTCCATCCAGGCCATTCTGCACTATACTTATAGGTACAGACCCCCAGCCAGACTCTGCCTCTCAATGTCCACCTCCCCATGCCCCTTCCTGACTCTGTCCTGATCGCTCCCTGCTGGACCTTTGAGAGCCATGTCTCTCCTGACCTCCCCATCCCTCCCTCAGCCTCTACCATCCTCACCCTTTTTTTTCTCTCAGGACCCTGTGCCGTGGGGAGTATTCAATCCTACACCGTCTCAAAGCAGCCAGTGAGTGCCAGGGACTGGAGGTTCAAGCCCTGGGCCCTGGGCCCCAGGGAGAGGGAGATTGGGGAGCTGTAGGCCTGGGAATGTGGGGAAGGAGGCTGTCATTCTTATGTGTCTCTGAGGCTATTCAGACACAGGTGGCCTTTCATTGCAGGGAGGATTATATAGACGAGACTCTAAGAAGGGCTCCTAAAGTGAGAAGAGAGGTGGGACAGGGCCCTATCGGCACACAGGGTGCACCTTGACCCTACTCCTCTCTCTCCTACCCCATCTATCTTGTGTGCAGTGGGGACCACGTGGCGGGACTATATTTCCATCTGCGGACTTCGCACTCACGGAGAGCTGGGCGGGCACCCGGTCTCAGAGCTCATCTACATCCACAGCAAGTTGCTTATTGCGGATGATCGGACAGTCATCATTGGTCAGAGCCAGATCTGGGCCCCTGGCAGTGAGAGGAGGGTGGAGAGGGACAGAGGGATGAGGAAGTGGGATGACAGGATGACAGGGACTGCAGGCTGAGTATCACGTGGGGGTGGAGGTGAAAGAAGGTGTTGCCCTCAGGCCAGCGCCCTGCTGAAGGTGATGGAGCATGGGGGTGGTTCCCCTGGGCCCAGACAAACATAGTGTGTCCCCCACGACCCCAGGTTCTGCAAATATCAATGACCGGAGCTTACTAGGGAAGCGGGACAGTGAGCTGGCTGTGCTGATTGAGGACACAGAGATGGAACCCTCCCTCATGGATGGGGCAGAGTATCAGGCGGGCAGGTTTGCCTCGAGTTTGCGGAAGCACTGCTTCAGGTAGAGCCTGGGCAGGGTGCCACAAGTGGGGGCAATTGGGGGGGGGTCTGCCTTTTGAGCCAGATGTGATGGCTGCATAGAAGTAGTACTGGATTCCCAAGAGGCAGACAGCCAGCTTAGGGTATGAGCAAAGCAGGAACACAAAAAAAATGAGAAAAAAATATTTAAAAAATAGTCTGGGGGCCAGGCACGGTGGCTCACGCCTGTAATCATAGCACTCTGGGACGCCAAGGCGGGTGGATCGTTTGAGCTCAGTTCGAGACCAGCCTGAGCAAGAGTGAGACCCCCGTCTCTACTAAAAATAGAAAGAAATTGGCCAAACAACTAAAAATAGAAAAAATTAGCTGGGCATGGTGGCACATGCCTGTAGTCCCAGCTGCCTGGGAGGCTGAGGCAGGAGGATCGCTTGAGCCCAGGAGTTTGAGGTTGCTGTGAGCTAGGCTGACACCATGGCACTCTAGCCCAGGCAAGAGAGTGAGACTCTGTCTCAAAAAAAAAAAAAAAAAAAAATAGTCCAGGGCCAGGTGCAGTGGGTCATGCCTATAATCCTAGCACTCTGGGAGGCTGAGGTGGAAGGATTGCTTGAGGTCAGGAGTTCGAGACCAGTCTGAGCAAGAGTGAGACACCATCTCTACTAAAAATAGAAAAAATTAGCCAGGTGTCATGGCACGTGCCTGTAGTCCCAGCTACTTGGGAGGCTGAGGTGGGAGGATAGCTGGAGCCCAGGGGTTTGAGATTGCAGTGAGCTATGATGATGCCACTGCACTCTACCCCGGGTGACAGAGCGAGATTCTGTCTCAAAAAAAAAAAAAAAAATTTAAAAATAATTTTTTTTTTAAAGCATCGAAGTAGAGACAAATCGAAGTCTGTTGGAGTCCTTTACACTTATTTTACTCTTTTATATTGCATTTATTTTGAATTACTTGAGTAGGGACAATGTAACTTCTGGTACTCAGGTTCGCTCAGGATCTTAACCTGGCCCTGCTGGGACCCCTTTCTCCCGCAGCGTGATTCTTGGGGCAGATGCCCGGCCAGAGCTGGATCTCCGAGACCCCGTCTGTGATGACTTCTTCCAGTTGTGGCAAGAGACAGCTGAGAGAAATGCCAATATCTATGAGCAGGTGCGACTTTGCGGGGATAGCCTGGGGAAATTTACAGATTATCCTGCTCAGTGTGGGCTGGAGCAAAGCCCCTCCACACGGTCATTCTCAGAAGGGGGATGAGAGTCTGGGGGGCATTTGCTGCCAAGGGATTCAGTGGCCCAGGGTCAGTGTGGAGGTGTTAGAGATGGCGTGGGGATGGGGGAGTCCAGCCCAGCTGGGCTCGACTTCTTGGGCGAGTCTCCCCAAGCCTTACTGGCTTCTATGCCCCCTGCCCACAGATCTTCCGCTGCCTGCCGTCCAATGCCACACGTTCCCTGCGGACACTCCGGGAGTATGTGGCTGTGGAGCCCCTGGCCACAGTCAGCCCTCCCCTGGCTCGGTCGGAGCTCACCCGCATCCAGGGCCATCTGGTACACTTCCCCCTCAAGTTCCTAGAGGATGAGTCTTTGCTGCCCCCACTGGGCAGTAAGGAGGGCATGATACCCCTAGAAGTGTGGACATAGCTGAGGCTCCAGATGGGGAGAGGTCACCAGCTGCTGGGCTCCACCAGATCTGGCTCCCTTACCTTAACCCTGAGGTCAGAGAGCAGTGCCCTTTGAGATCTGCGGAGACAGGCATCCTTGAAGGGGACTAGAGAAGTCACAGAAGACCTTTCCTTGAGAAGTAGCCAAAGAGGGCACTCCCACACCTGGGCCAGGGTGGCAGGAGAGAGTCCAAGAGAAGTTCATCCTCCCTGCTGCCCAGTTCAAACCACTACCACAGAGGAGAAGCACAACTCCTGCCAGGGTGACCAGGGTCAAGCCTCTTATTCCAGGAGGAGTGGACTCTGCCCTAGGCCTTCCCCATCTCCCCTTCCTCCTCCTGCCCCTGAACCCCCTCCCTGCTCCAGGGCCTCTCCTAGCCCAGTGCTGCCAAGGTGGAGGGAAAGACAAAGCCACTTTTGACTTCAGCCCCCACCAGAGGTGGGAAGGGGGGCACACTAACTCCCTGTACCAACCTGCTGACAGACACTAACTCTGTATCCGTTTGATAAGCATTTTGTAAATAAAAGTATAGAAAAGGTCCGTGCCTCTTCCTTGGAGGAACTGAGTGCTGGTCTCAGCCTCCCCTCCCTGCCTACACAGGGCACTAGTCCCCTTCACCTTATCTCCGCCCCACTCCTTTCTTCCTCCTGTTTCCATCTCTGTTCTACTTGTCTGTGGCTCTGGGAGCTGGGCCACCCGGCTCCTGAGAGAAGGTGTTCATACAGTGCTACCCGGGTAGAAGGAAGAGCAGGGCCAAACCAGGGCACCTGGACAAATGCCGAGCTAACCTTGGAGCTGCAGATGAGGGAGGTGTGCTGAGAAGGGCCTGGAGAGGCCACCTCTTCTTCAAATGACAGCCCTGGCGGAGGCTCCGGGAAGTCCCTTTGGGAGTGGTTAAGGGTATAGGCTTGAGGTTAGGGAAAACTAGGCCCAAATCCCAGACTTGTCAGTTAGAATCTAGGTGACCTTGTCAAGTCACATCACTTCTCTGGGCCTCGGTGGTCCCAGGGAAATGGGAATAATACTTGCATGACTGGCTTGCTGTAGAGACTCAGTCATTGACTCAAATGTTTATTGAGCATCTGCTACTTGCCAGGCTCAACATTGTGGCACTTATGTTCTGGAGTTTCAACTGTCCAGTACAGTAGCCACTAGCCACATTTGGGTGTTCCAATTTAAATAAATTAAAATGAGAATTAAAAGTTTAGTCCCTCATACCACATTTCAAGGGCTCAGGAGCCACTTGTTGCTAGTGGCTAGCATACTGGACAGTACAGCTGTAGAGCATTTCTATCACTGCACAGAGTTCTATTGGACAGCACTGGTCCAGAGGGAAGAGACAGAATAACTGACGTAGTCTATGAAAGAGCATAGCACAAGCACTGAATCGAGGATAGTTACCTTCCCGGAGGGGTACACAGAGAGAACTGCAACTTAGTTGGTAACTTTCATTTCTTAAGCTGAGTGGTTAAGTATATGGATTTACACATACACCCTCCCCCAGACACACAACTTTTCATAAGTCTGAAATGTTTCGCAATTTGAAAAAAGTTTAGCACAGGTCCTGACTCTTGCTCTTCACTCCCCCAGCCTCACTCCCCAAGTCTCAGAATTGACCACGGAAGCAGGAGAAACCAAGGGAGCAGAGGGAGGACTTTAGGAAGCACTCCTGGAAGCGGGGTGTGCTGGGTAGGTGAGGACGTGAAGAGAGGGAATGTTGTTGCCCTATCTTGTCCTCTCCTTTAAGTCCAGCCCTCAGTCCTCTCAAGAAGCCACTTCCATGCAAGAAATCCCCCTTCCACATATACCAAGTTTCTCCTCTCTCACAGTACTAATTTGTTAATTAGCCTCATTGTCAGCACTAACTGCCCTTTCCCTAGGGGGACCATTACCTCATTAAAGGAGTCAGGTAGAGGCTGCAGCTGCCCCAGGCTGGGCCAGGGGCTAGGTGAGCTTCTGTTCCACACTGTCTGTCTGCCTTCCCCTTCCCCACGCCCTCCTCCTGGAGTTTCTTGAATGGAGGCCAACTGCAGTGCAGGGGGACAAAGCAGGGGGCTTAGAATCTGAAGAGTTGGCTCTAGATCCAGAATATAAAGGGTCCAGCCTCTCAGGGTTGATGGGAGGCCCTGAGGGTGACTGTGTCTGTGCCTCCAGGGATCCTATAATTTGTCTTATTTTTAATATTTTAACTTTTCTTAGAGCATGGTCCAGGGCTCCCTCCATCACATTGTCTCTTCTTAAGTTTTTATTATGGACTTCAAATATATATATATATATATTATATATATATATATACATATATATAATATATATATATATAAGTAGAGAATGAACCCTCATGTATCCATGTATATCCACATATCCTTACTCTAGCTTCAATAATTATCAGCATGGGCCAGTCTTGTTCTCTTTCCTCCCCACTCCTGAGATTATATTGCCTCTTGGTGCTTGGGTGGCCATTTATCCCATCCTTGTGATCTTGATTTGCAATTCACTCATTTAGTATCTATTTATTAAACACTCTGTGAGTCAGGCATTAGCAAATTTGCTGAGGACCTAGTATACGCCAAGTGCTTAACATACATAATTTTGTTTTATCCTAACCTCCCTATTATCTGTATTTTACAGATGATAGAATTGAGCCTCAGAGAGGTTAATCATTTGCCTGAAGCACTAATTTCAAATTCCATGCTTTTCCTACTATCCCAAGATCTTAACCTTGAGCTAATACTGTGCCTACCTAGACAACAGATGCTTTCATTAACTGATTTTCTAGTGGGTGCCAGGCCCTGTGTTGAACAAGACCAATATCATTCCTGCCTTTAAGGAGTGTGAACTAAAATAAAATCTTAAGCTTCCCCCAGATGACTGAATGGACCCCCTCTTGGCTAAGAGGACCCCAGAAATACCCAAAAGCTGGCTTGTTGGCCATGGGAAGGGTAGTCAGACACTCCTCATTTTGCCCCCCTCCCTTCTTGTAGCTATACTCTAACTCATTAACAGACCTAAGGCTATGCAAGACAAATCTACAGGTCCTCAATTTACATAACAAATCACTTGAGTCTGGGTATTTGGCCCGTGGCTTATCTCTGATTAACAGACTTCCCTATCTTCACTTAAAACATTCCAAACCTTTAGACAAAGCTTCATTTCTTTAACCAATTACAACACACCAAAGAGACTTTAAACTCACCTATAACCTGTAAGTCCCCCTCCCTTGAGATGTCCCACCTTTTTGAGCCAAACCAATGTACACCTTCCACGTATTGACTTAGGAGTAGTTCCTGTCTCTGAAATGTGAAAAACCAAACTGTAACCCAACCCACAGCGAGTCCACTTACATAAGGATTCTTGAGCGTGCCTCTGGTCCATGGTCCTCAAATTTGGCTCAGAATAAACCTCTTTAAATTAGTTTACAGAATTTGACTTCTTTTCTGTTGGCAAACAGGAGCATGACATCAAATTTGAATTTTAGGAAAATCATTCTGGGTATGAAGAATTGACTTGAGGGGGCTGGGCAGGGAAGCCAAGTAGGCTATCTAGCATAATGCAGGAAAGTGGGGATTGTGGCTTGGAAAGGACAATGGCGAGGAAAATGATTTGGCAGGAAGGAGAGCAAGATTGAATGTGCATTCAGATGCTAAGAAGGGGCCAGAAAGGAGGGTGTTCAGCTTTTTTCCAAGGACCTTTCATTCAAACTCTGGTAAGTGATGTTTATCACTTACTGGTGATAAAGGCTGGTGGTGGAGTCTTACCGTTGGTGCTGGAAGAGATCTTGAGGATCATACAGTCTTCCTCCTCAACTTCACAGTAAAAGAAAAGCCCAGGGAAGCAAAGCAATTTGCTCAAGGTCACACACCATGTCAGTGGCAGAACATGACTTCCTATTCTTACATGGCATTACCCAGCCTCCACAGAGGCTAATGGCTGGGAGGGCTGTTCCGACATGTCTAGATCTAAGGTGACCCAAGCAAGATTTGAAGGGATTGAACACAGATTCCTCGTCTTGCCCTCTGTTGCCCCTTCCCCCACGCACCACTCCAGGGATCGGTCAACGAATAATTGTTGAAACAGTTCCTTTGCGCAGAACACTTTGTTAAGAGAGGTGCAGTGATATAGTTTGCGGTAGGATTCCTTAACCTGAGATCTGAGATCCCCTCCTCAGTACTCCCCACTCCAGCTAGGGAAGGGAGTAAAGGGTATTCCTAAGGCAGCCAGTACCCCACCTCCACCGCCCCCCAACTCCTACGTGGTTTCTCTAGCCAAGTTTTCACAGGGAGGCCCCTCCTTCAGCGGCTCCACTGTTGCCATGGCAATTGGGTGGGTGGACAGCCCGTCCTATCTAGAGGCCACCCAGCCCTCGCGTGGGGAGTTACCATAACAACCCCCCTAGTAATAGAGGGGGTTGGGTCCCGCCTCCCTTCCCCCGCAAATAGAGAGGTGGGTGGCTTGATTGGCAGTTGGGCACACGAAAGAAGGAGGGATAGGGAAGGAAAGGCGTCAAAGGAGATCTAAGAAGGAAATAGGAGAGAGAGAGGGCAAAAAACAGGGAAGGGAAAGGAAACGCGTGTGCGCACGCGCGCCAGCTGGTGGGCGCGCTCCGCAGCCTCCTCGGCCGCCGCCCACTTCTTTCACGCCAGGCTCGCGCGGTCGCTCGGTCCTCGCGCGCGCCTTTCGCCGTCTGTTCTGCGCCTGCGCGCAGGTGTCGGCGCTTAGGGGGAGGGGCACCCGGCGCGCTCGCGTCACGTTCCCTCTTCCACCCTCCCTTTGTACTGCCGCTCTGCGCCTGCGCAGGAGAGTCGGGAGGCTCGGGTTGCAGGCTCCCGGGCGATAGCTCCTGTCAGGCGGTGGGTCGGTCCTCCCGTCGGTCCTCCCCCTCCCCGGTCTCCGGGGGAGGCGCGGTGGAGTCCGCCCCCAGGGTCCCCCGATGGGGGAGAAGCGGCGACGGCGGCAGTGGAATAATCGAACCGGAGCGTGAGCGGCCCCGGGGCCCCGTTCCCCGCGGAGGCCATGGGCGACCCAGCCCCCGCCCGCAGCCTGGACGACATCGACCTGTCCGCCCTGCGGGTGAGCGCGCCGCCCCCCAGCCTCGCCCCGGTTCCCGTCCCCGCCGCAGGGGAAGGAGCGGGGCGGCTGCACGCTTCACGTGCTCCCTGGGCGCCCCCTCCACCAGCCTGGTTCCCCTCGGCAACCCATGCCCCTTTCCCGGGCTCCCGCCGCTGCTGGGCGCCCGCACTCTGCTCCCCTTCTCTCTCCACTCGCTGCAGATTGTGGGAGGCAGTTCGGTCCCCACCCTGTGGTGCCCCGCCCCCACACTTCCCTGCCACCTCTACCTTTACTCTGGGGTTCGGGACTCCCTTCTCCAAGGTGTTGGAGGCTCACCTTCTGGCTCCCCTAAACTTAGGCCCACCCCCATCACCTGCAAAATCTTTACTGTGGCCCCTCACCTCCTCTTGGCCCCGTTTCCACCTTTGCCCTTACTTACATCTCTTTCCTCCCCCTCTTTCTTGGCTCCTGGAATTTTGACTTTGCAACTGTC